ACCTAAGTATTATCCCCACTGACTTTAAAAAAAAAAAAAAAAAAAAAAAAAGAATTAAAGTGCCAGCAATCCCCCAAACACATCATCTCCTCAGCTCTTTCAACTTGCGTTACACTCTCCTGTCTCTAACTCTGACAAACTCCAAAAGCACACAGTAAATGAGAATTTGTTTTTAAAACAGCAGGCGATGTGCAACACTGGTCAGGAGAGGTCTATATAATGCAACATCCGTTTGATAACACCTTCGCTACGAAGCATGCTAATCGAACTATTTTGCAAAACTTTAACTATAAAATCATAGTTCAGAAGTAATTTAGCAGTAATAGGAAACTAAAATTTACGTTAAAAATATAAGAGTCTTTTCCATTTGGCAAATACTGAAATGGCGGATGGGGAGTCCCTCTATTCTCTGATTTGTTCAGTAACATACAGCACTATGTGCTTTTCTCTTAAAAAGACAGCAAAATATTTAAGACAGAACAGCAACACAATTTATGCGCGAACCCAGCAACAGAGACATTGAAGTCAAGTATTTACAACTTGGAGGATGTTTCCTGCGTGATTTGTAACAAGTCCATCTTGTAGGAATTTTTAGGCTTAAATCATTTAGTAGCATGTTTACATTAGCATTTAGTCACATACATGGAACAGTTGTAACATTACACAAAGTGCCCTAGCATTGCTTATACAGACTTTTTCCTAGGAAACCGTATGTACTAACAACACATAGGAAAGATAACAGTGGGACAGGAGAATGACTGAAAACAAAAAACTGTTCGTTGGCACATCCTGACATAGGTATGAACTGCAATTACAAAATAATCTTTTTTGTGTGTATTTATTTTTTTCTGGTTTTTAATCTAAAGTAAGACAAATATTCATTCTTGAAAATTAGGGCTATAAGGGCTAGAAGCAAAGTTCCCTTTGTGAACATACAGTGAAAAGAGGAAAAGAGAGAAAAAGTTAACTTTATGGTATCTTAAGCCAAGCTTTAAAAAATACTTAGCACATCACTAAAATAAAAACTATTACAGAGTTTATAAAAAGCTAGTTCTAAAATCTACTTTTTTTGTTTTCCTGTGCTTTTGTCTCTGCTTGTTTTAATAGCAGAGTCATAAGGGTACAATGCTGCTGAATACTGCAAATCTGAACCTTCTCTTTCAGTCTTGCTTGATGTTTTGACAGCAAGTGAAAAAAGTTTGATATTTACAGGTGGATTACACAGATCAATATAAAACTGCATACTTGCTAGCACTCCAGTCTGGAAATCAAGTTTTAAAAAATGTTGAGTGTAGAAGTATTTGACTTCTAGTTGCAGGCACTGATATTAATTAAAAAATTAAAATATGATTGATGGTAACAGGATTAAAAATAATTTCCATTAAAAATGCCACTAAAATCAAAGTTATAAAAATACATGTACACTGGCATGAAGTGTCCAGCGTAGCGTTACTCTCCTGGCAATCCACAGTGAGACACTTGAAAAAGTGCAGCATATACAGATTTCAGTAAAAGCAGCCTCAGAATAACATCTTGGCCTCATAATCTCTCTCCCACAGAGCAGAAAACCTTTCAGACTCGTACTGAGAACGAAGGTTAGACATACCATCAATTCAGGACTTGCACTACCCGCACCATAAAGCATGGCAGCTCTTTCTGAAGAAAAAGTTGCACAGAAATCACTCTGCAGTAGACTGCCTTCCCTGCATCAGTGTTCTTAACTAGATCAGGCATTTGGCATGTGTTGCCTAGATGCTCTTTAGAACAACTACCAGACTGCTCTTAACTTACCATCTGGAATTTTGGACTTGGAATTCAGATGCTGAAAATAACAGTCTTACTTACTCATTATGGTAAGCATTTAGCTCCAGTATACGATTTACGATCCAAGGGACCTGCTACTGACTTCCTCTGTTAGAACTTGGCCACAGTGCAAAGACTTCTCCAAGAGAACAGTCTATTTTGTGTGGCCTTGTTTTCATTCAAGATTGCCCATTTGCACTATGAACTTAATTCTTGTTAGGGACAACATTAACTGTAGGGTGAATTTTTGTGGCACAGATTGTCATATACCAAAACAATCTGTAACATTTCAAAACTAGTCAAAATCTCTTTGGAAAAAACAACAATAAACCAACAAAAAAAAAAAAAAAGACAATGTCTAAAACAATCCTTTGAGAATAAAAACACACGTGGCATTTTACCTTGTAGAGCCTTCAAAAAGCCTTACACGTTTTCATGTAAGATACTTTTAAATTTTCTATTCAATCCACGACCTCTATTAGAATTCAGCTGTACTTCAGTACAGCATAATAAAAATAATTTTAATTGCTTCTTTGACGTTAGTTGAAAACTCTGCACTAACTACCTATCTACACATTAAAGTTATGCTACCTACTTGCATAGATGATGTATCTTGACGGCATCTTTTGTAGTGAGTATGACTTTACAATTCAGGTAAGTACGCATTTCTATTTGCTTATTTTCCAGTATTTGTGGGTAGAAGAAGTTGAAGAACAACTACCATAGAAATGAGTTTTCTAAAGCACATCCCCCTGTAAAGGATCTTCTCTTGTACTGATTTAATACTTTTTCTCATGTTTGCTTCTCATGCAAGAGAAAACAAGAAGAGAAAAAAACTGCCACAGTTCCTTCAACACCTGGAAAATCCTAGAGCCTCAAATGATCAACAAAGGTCAAGTGCTGCCTGAGAACACTGCTTGCAAAGTGGAAAAGCAGGCTTGTTCAAGACCCACTTCCTTTTCCCATTTAACTTCTCTAGCTCAAATGCTACACATGGACTATCCTGAATCTTGTTGGAAGACATGGATTTAATACCATCTTAACTTTCTGTCTGAAGGGACAACTGCAATAGAAAAAGAGTTTTTAACCTACTAGTAATTCTGTTCAAATTCCAGCTGGACTTTGGAATTATTTAAATTATTTAAAGAACTGGTCCTGCAGCGACCAATAAATTCAAGCCCACCAAACAATAATCAAAATACAAATGTTAACTAATCTAGCTAGGTCAGTTCTTCATAACTAATGTAAGGAAAAAGTTGTGAACAGAAAAAAGAATAAAAGCATCAGGCCAGTAAGTCACATTACCAGAGAATTCTCTCAAAAATGAAGTACGCAGTGAAGAAAAAGCAAGAATCCTGAATAAAAATTACTAGCAATTCAGACTTATTCTACCTGCTTTTCCATTTTTGCAAGCTGCTTCTTCCCTACAAAGTGCCAATAAATCTCTCTGGGGATGGTGGTGTAGGGGGGATGCATTTGCCAGCTGCTGTTTTAGAGGAACTTCCTGAACAAGTGAGCAGATACTACTTAGTTTACATAATATACATGGAGGTCAGAACTATCAAGGCTGCTATTTTATTTTAAAAGTCACTTCTGAGCATGTCATATAAGGTAGTTATAAAATGCATTGCTCACAACTATAGCAATATACTTCATCCCATTTCACTATCATCTAAAAGTTCAAAGACGTTTATTGCTGTATTACAGTTTTCAGTAAGCCTCATGTGCAGACTAAATAAAACCAAAGAAAACTGCCTCCTACTCAGATCAAACTGCTGATCAGAGGGTCATCCTTCCCATTCCATGGAACAACAGAACAATAACAACCAGAAGCACTGATCTTAATGGTAGCATCAACCAGTGCATATTTCATTGTGAACTGTATGATATCTGAAACATAAAACAGTGTGATTCCTCAACAAAAGCTCTGCAAAGCTGAGCTACGCACAATCCTTTGCTGAAGTCAGTATTATGTAACCACAGTCACTTCTATCTATGAGCTTCCAAGAATACACACTATGCTAAAGGAAACAGTTAGCATTATTTTGAAGTCACCTTTTTCCTATCCTTCAACTGCAACAATCTCATGCAGTGAGCTTTTTGGGTCAAGTTTACAATCAGTATCAATTTGTACTTCATTGTTTTACTAGTTTAATGACTGAAACATTAAAGGTGGATACCCACCTATGACTTAGATGCTTGCATTATTCTTATATTAACAAAATATCTTGAATTAACAGAAACTGGATCCAGTATTACTGCACCTGTGATAATTTCTCATTCTATTCATCTGAAATACAAATCCTAGGAATATTTCAAGACCTGAATCTATGAAGTAAAATACTGTAGTCCAATCTACACAGATGAATCTTTGTCCTTGTTAGTCATGGAAAGCTGGTGTAAAAAAACAAAGCTTGCAGCACCAATAGCACTGAAATATTACACTGCAATGAAACCAGTCAAGTCATGCAAGGTGTTCTCAAAATATCCCAAACACATTCAGTAGGTATTAGCTGGTGTACGCAGATCTTTGCCTAGTGTTAGTAAATGCTTAAAAGGCATTTGACATAGCAAGACAGTTTATCACCAGTGTAAACTCTGATTTTTCTGCATTCACTGGCAGTTTGCTTTCCCACATGGTAATTTTGCAACATATTTAATATTTGTTAAACTCTTTCATTTAGAAATGCTGATTATATGCTAAAGTGGTACACAAAGTAAAGAGAAAAAAATAGAACAGTAACATAAAAATAGCCAATATTAGTCAAAGAAGCACTGAACTCTGCACAGTGAAATATTTACTTTTTTTTTAAAAAAAAAAAAAAAAAAGCTACTGCATATGAATCATCCTGTTATCCCATCACACAAAATATCCAAAACTTCATCAATCACTGTTTCACAATGGCTTGATATGTAGGCTCTATCCCTCCAGTTAAGCAAAAGTTGTGAAGTTAAAGCTTGTTCCTCCTTACAACAACTGTTTTACTACACAGAAAATTTATTTCTGAAGCCAAGAGATACCAGTTGTTACTGCATGGCTAAGTTAACACGAATTAGACTGATTAAAGGAAATGATCTGACAGAGCAGAAGTTTCAAGACTAAGAGATGAAGCAGATCTCTTCTTTCAGAACAGCGTAAGTTCTTTAGTAGAGCTAAGTACCTTTGTAGAGGCACCAAAAACAAATAGCCCTTTCAATTGAACTTTCAAAAAAATTTAATTTTCATTTCAAATGGGTTCTTGAAATTACTAGATACATATATATCCCTCTCCCATGTCCCTGTAATATACATTCAGTAATTTAAAATAAAGATTCCATACTTTATAACTCCATATATATTATATATTTCATATATAATATATATATATATATATATATGTACATCACAGATACATACACTCTCAGTCAGCAGGATTAAACTGTATTGTTTTGAAATGTTTAATTGGAATCACTAGTCTAATTATACTATTTTGTGAATTCAATGGAATTTTATCTATTATCTAAAAAGAAAAATTTTAAAAGATCCGAATGGAATCTGTGGATCAAAATTAGCACCAATACAAATGGCCATTACTTCAAAATGACTTAGGGACTGAAGTTATTTATTTATTTATTTATTTTTCTATAACTCTCCTTTCACTGTGCAAGCATTCCTGCATAATATTTAGGCAGCAATACCTGCCAGGTCCATACATTTTTCTTATGTTAAATTGAAATTTTATACAACTTTCCTTACTGTAATATACAGCATTGCTTTTGTCCTGTTGGATTATTTCATTTTTCATGCTGAAAAGTGATCAAAAAATATCCAACAGAACTTTTTAAAATCCCCTTTTTCTGTCCATTGTATGGCTCAGTTTCAATATTATACTCAGCAAGTAGCCACCATCAGCATGACCAGAACCTACTCACACAGTTCAGTTACTGACTGCTGATTCTTTAAGTGTTGAAGGCAACTTCCTCTTTATGGAAACCAAGATACTCTGAAGTTGTAACATTTAAACATGCACACCAATGCTTGCCACATAATAATATCAGTCTTACCACTAGAATTGAATAAGTTACCTACCATTTGGGTAACAAAACTAACAAACCCAGTTGTGATTTTAAGCATTTGAAGAATATTCACCCTGAGAACACAGAGGAAGATTTTAAAAAATATGATATGTTTTCTCTTCATAAATATCTTTCTTCTTTTTTTCTTCACCTCCTCTTGGGTACCTGGGTTTGTATCTGGAATTTGACTTCATACTTATCAGTTGATCTGTTCATGCTACAGTCAGGTACTGGTGATAGAAAAGCCCAAAAAGGCTTGTAGAAAAGAGGCAAGCAGCAACCCACCAGGTAAGGAACGACAGGAGTCCCCGAAACAGGAGAGGAGTGAAAATATTCTTTAGGCTTCCCAAAGCCATTGTTATTTGTACTACGGTTACTTTCATCTTTCCATCAGCAGGTACAGATTCAGAATAAGCTGAATTATGAAGCAAACTGTTTTCTACTGGAGTGTTAGAACTCAGTTCTGGGTAGATGCCCCAAGAATAATTACCTGTTGAAATAAAGAATTAACAAATTTTTATTAAATTAAGTTTTCTTCATTCTATACACTGTATTGTTTTATATATTTTTTAACACACATACACAAATATTTCTAACTTAGTAAGAGCTACCTGTTTTGCTCCCCATGGCTCCCTGATCACTCTAGTAACCCATCAGGATAGGATTCATCCTACTTTTTGACATACTAACATCTACATGTGAAACGGTTGCCATGGGACTCGTCAGTACCTGGTATGATTAATCTCACTAGATATAGATGTCTGCTTCAGGATGAGATGAATCACAGCCTAATGAAGCCTCTCTCTCTCTCAGCTGACATTTTGCAAAAAGAATGCCATGATTGCATGGCAGGCTGTAAAAGACATCCCTCATAAGGAAGTAAAAAAAACAGCGATATCAAGTCTCCTATAAGTGAAATGAATCTTCTATTTCAATTTCTTTTCAATAACTCACTGAAAATTGAAGAACTGGGGAAAAAAAAAATCAAATAATAGATAAAAGATTGTATCAACAATGCCTTATACAGCTCACTTAAAATACTTGAAAAATATGAATATTTAAATAGAAATAAAAAGCTTCATTTGTTGTACTACACAATTTCTCAGAAATAAAGCAATCAAATCAGCATATCACTGATAGACGTCAAAAGCAGCAAGATGATAACTTACAAACTATAGATCAGTATGTTTTAAATGACAGAAAACAACATTTTTCTGTATTGCATTACTCATAAATCCTAATTCTTTACAGCAACTTGAAAATATAAGAGTCCTGTACAGAACAGATTTGCCCATCAAATTTTGCCTACCTAGTGTTTTCAAAAGCAGAGTCGTGTGAAGAAGCATTACCAATGGTGCAACATACTGCAGTGCAATTACACAAAGGTAATAGAAGACTCGAGCCACCTGGGAAGATAGAATAAAATCATTTGAGTTCAGAGCAAACCTACACGAACATGCAATTCATTAAGAACAACGCACACGCACAAATGCGGTCTTAAGCTTTCTACCATGTTTCAGTGTTATGACCCACCATCTTCAAAATAACTAATGAAAAAAAAAACCCTAGCTGATAAGCTCATCAAGGCACTCAAAATTCTGAGCAGAAGCCGTGAAAGAAAGTAAATAAAAATATCTGTTCAGTTACAAAATTTGAAAAAATTCTGCTTATGAACATTGCATATCATTGTTCAAAGATTCCTATTTCACTACACTAACAAAAAATTAGTTTTGACTGTAAATCAAAACTTTTGTTATTTACAAAATAAATTCCACTACACAAACACGATAGTTAAAATCCCAAGTTTCACCAAAAGTAAACAAAAATTTGGTTAAAAAGGAAGACATGTCTTTCCCCATGTAAAATACCAGTTTTAAAAACAATCACAAGAGGATTTTTCATTAGCAGATAATCAATAACAAACTATTTAAAAGGTTTTTATTTCTTATATACATTATTACTTCTTGAAACCTACTCAGATTTATCACTCTTTCATCCCTGTAATTTGTTCCATATTTCTCAATATTTTTGCATTACGTATTTCATATAAGCTTTTGACCTAAAAGAATATATCAGATAAAGAGGAGAAAAAGTCATAAAAATCAATAGAAAGCAAGCCATGAATTAAAGCTAATCAGATTTTAGAAAATACAGAATACAGGGTGGCAAAAAAGATGAAGTCAGACATGACATTTTTGGAAGTACCCCTAAAACATGTCAAAGAGCTTTGAGATGAGCAAGCATCAAAACCTAGCATGAGAAAAAAATGCAGTAAGACACTCAGAAAGGAAGTATCGAAAATACTGTAAGATAAATGATGAAATACGATAAAAAGAACAAGTAAGAAAGTAATGGTCACCTTCAAGGCAGACAGGAAAGATTTTACGGGCAAGACTTCAGAAGAAAAGGCTAATATGGTAATAAAACAAACTGTATTTAGTGGCCATGGGTTTCTTAAAGAGAAGACATGTATGTAGTGGATAAACAGACTTACAGAAGACATTTTTGTTTCACAGGTAAGATGAAAGCCTACAAAACTAGGATGCATTCACAACCATCTTCTGTCATACAGATCCATCATAACCAGTCGTCACTACCTGCATTTCCTAACATTTACTACAAAGCCAAACACTATTCATTAAACATGTGAAATAACTACAACACAGTCCTCTACTAACAGTAAGATATCCAGCGGCAACAAAGACAGAATTATTAGTGACAGTGACAATTCTAAGACAGGAGTCCTCATCCCATGGCATATTTCAATATTCCTCGTGGAATACACCCCAGATCAGCAACATCATCAGACAGCACTATCACGCAACACTAGAAATCTAAGTTTAATTTGCAGGTAACATGCAACACTGTTCTACAGCAAGCTTACAAACTTCTACCTTGTAAGTTTGTTCCTTTTTCATTACAAAGAAATAATCCAGTCTTTCCTAACATTTTTGACAGTAACAAGATAGGTAGTTTTGTTGTGAGGCTGGTGCATCACAAGAGTGGTCTTACAGAACTAAATACATCTTATCCCAAAATATAACTAATCTATCTTAACTTTTGTCTCAATTCAGAAATAACAATTCTTTCTAAACTCAAATTCTCCCTATTTCTCCCACACTACAACAGTTAATTGCCACAGAGCCTATGCACTCCATAGCTTATATCCATGCAACAGAAACAAGAGAAGCATACTGTCTGCCATGGCATTTTTAAAAAACACTTCACAGCGGGATGTCTTCCAATAACACATGAACAGTTTAAGATAAAGTATTTGCATAATATGGTTGACATGTCTGCATATTTTGGTTTAGAGAACTTCTTAGCGCTATTTTTGTAGAAGAAAGCTTCACCCAGATTTCAGTCCTGGTGCCCCAGAAGACACAAAAACTGGAAAAAAAGCACATTAAAAAGAGCAAGCATTCCAAATGCAACCTTAGTCCCACTGTACTTACCATTTTTTGTAAATCCACTGTGCTTATTCTGCCAGCTTCCTTTTTCATTTGATCCACACTTTTCTGAGCTAAATTCAGATAGGCCTGCAAGTGACTGCGCATCATAGCCAATCGTAAAGCACACAGCAGGATTATAATCCACAATCTCATGGTGTCAAATGTGTCTTCTGACATTCTGTAGATTAAAAAATAAAAAGCAATGCATGTCCTGTAAAGAAATCTTCAGGCATGTGGTCAGAAATACTTAATGAACAATTCACAGTTACAAAGTTAATGTGCAAATAAGTATTTGTTTCCATCCATTTCTCTTTGTACTATTACTTCTCAGCAGCCCCAATACAGCATTAAATTTCACTTACTTATGCAAACAATAACAGCTCTTGAATGACTAAATTTGAGTAATGTACAGAACATTGCAACCTACAGCATGATCATTTTAAGATAAACTAAGAAGAAGCAAAATGGAAGCAAAAAAATCTGTATTTCCAAATTTTATGTAATAGACTGATGGTTATAAAGTTGTCTTTCAAGCATCTTTTAGATCTACAAGGTCTGCTCTGAAATTACTGCCTCCTATTTTACTATGTTGGTGCACAATGTCAGAGGCAGATGTTGGTGTCGTGGAAGTAGAGGTTGAACCTTCCCACCAATACACCACTATATTTTGTTGCCATGAGACAGAAGGCAGTCTGACAAGAAAAAGCATCTGATACAGAAATGCATATGAAGCAAAGGTGTGTCAATTTCTCCATGCAGAATAAAACTGACCCACTGACATTAATTGACACTTGCTGCACGTTTATGGAGACAAAACAGTGGAGGTAGCACAGTGAGATAGCAGAATGCCCCAGCAGTGGTGACAAAGGTGTGAAAGATTAGCCATGTTCCAGACAGTCATGCAGATTTTTACTGAGCACAGCATTCCAGCCCTTATTCATCAGTTATGAAAATGTATAACTGATGAAAATGTATAACTGGTAATTATGCTGAAAAACATTGTTTTGTAGCTGAGTATTTGCCCTATTAAACAGTGTTACTGTGATCTTTCTATCTGTTGTAGTTCCCATGGAAATAAATAGGAGGCATTACTTTCAGAGTGACCTACGTATTAAGCAATAAAACTGACAGCCAAACATATCAGTTATAAGCCTACCCAATTACTATTATTCTGATTTTCCTAGACTAAAAGCAATAGTAACAACCATCTATTCAGTAGAAAACAGTATTTTATAATATAGCATCACTCATGAAAATCTTCCATTTTTATGCTTTTAAGTATTTTATCTATTAATGAAGCAAAATTAATAGCGAAGCTAGGCACTACACCTATGATTTTGAAACACTTCTCATCATATTAAGAGCCTTCGACCAGTCCTCATATCTATGCATCTCATTTGTCTTCAACACAACCACTCATTTCTTAAACCAATAAGTAAGCTGTAAGGTTTTCAACAGGAAAAACAACCCGTTAGTCTGCCAAAGAAATGCCAGCACATAGTGGCTTTTCTAGAACCATCAACTCAACACTGCGATTCATTCTCCCTCTGAGACAGATGAGCTCTAAAGGGCATACTTTCGATGACTCTCGATACACAATTTCTAGTCTTTCACACCACTAAACTTTCAGAAGGCACTGCTCAGACTGATAGCTTTACACTGAATAACCCCAGAAAGGTTTTAAAGGGAATCTTACAAAGGTATGCTCTCTTTGCCCAAAGGTGGGTTCATAATGTAGTCCTTAGTGATTGGTTTTACCCATAGAAGAACCATAAATAAAGGTGCCAAGAAGTTTATATGCAGCAGTGTTCTGAAAAAAAAAAAAAAGGGAGGGGGAAGGAAGTTGTTAAATGCAAACAATTACCGTACTGTTGAAATTGGCAACAAACTTAAAAAGATAAGTCCAAGTTTTAATATAGTTGAGACAAAGGTAAATAATGAGATTACTTCTCTATTTTTAAGATAATGACTTACATTTTAACAAAATATTGTATACTGTGAAACTGTGGTTTTTAAAAGCGCTCTTTGAAATAATCCTTTTTCTAAACACTTTAACAATCTAATCAAAGCAACTAACTACATGCACCATATCACACTATAGAAAAGACAGTTGTTTAAAAATTTCATACTATAGCATAACACCAAAGTGCAGTAGCTTTTACAGTTTTAATCTAGGCAGTTAGCAGCTTAGATGGATAACGTGTCATTAATTTAAGATTTTTTGTTTTATGAAAAAGGTACTTAGATTAATTTCCATTATCTATACAAACCAGGGGAAATCTGCATTCAATTAAAGATACTAACAAAAAAAATACAATGTTTAAAAAGCAAAGTTTAAAGTACTTGTTTAAAGTACAAAACTACACTGTCTACATTGTTAATTTAAAAGGAACTCAACATATAAAACAGTAGATTTTAAAAAAAGAAAATATTATTCTGGAGTTTTCTCTGAAATTAACATATTTCTTTTATTCCTCCTTTGGACCAATCTGAAGTCCATACCCCAGATTTACAATTCTCAAATAAAATAAGAACAGTTGAAACTTCATCCTGTGATCTGGTATTTTTTACTAGTGCAATGTTTCTTCTCTAACAGAATTGGCTCATGTATACGGCCATCGCCAAAGACATTTCCTCTAAACTATTAAAAAAAAAAACGAGGTAACCAAAAGTTATTCTGAAATACTGTACTGATTTCAAGCAATCAAGCTTGCTAAACTCACTATACTCACTGAAAAGTTGGAGTGTTTCAGAAGCAGTTACAGCATCACTTAAACCATTGGTTTCATATGAAGAAATAAGCAGTGTAAGTTTTCAAGTACTACTAGGGAGCACAACAACACCAAAGAGCAGTCAAGATTATCTCAGTAACTTGTGAGAACATTTTACTTGAGCTTCTAGGTAAAGACATCCTACTAAGTCAATGGACTGCAATGTACCAAATGGTGGCAAGTCTCCCTTTCTGTTTATTTGAGTACAAGGAAACAGGTTGATGGATTCTTGTAACAGGTTCTGGAAAATGACTGTATGAAAATAGTACAAATTAAGACAACTCTAAAAACACACAAAGAATGATACTGCTCACAAAAAATCAAACTAACAAAATTAAAAGTGACATTATTTTTCTCCTACTTTTCTCTAAAATTTATTCCCTGTATATACATCTGTGGAAGAATAATGTTAATTATTTCAACCACACTATCCAAGTGGTAGCTACTTATGTGGGATGTCAATGTTTTCTATACGTCTCCCATTTTATAAATATGGCTTCTCCTCTCTGGTTTCTTCTACAAAGTATAATCCCACGTTTGACTGCAAAGAAAGGCATTGTTTTCCCACTTCCAATTTAAAGAGCGTTACATCAGCTGCACTCATACTCATTTCCTATTCCCTTTAGTCACTGCCAAACAACTGCAAACACTAAGCAATGATCTGCTCATTGACTAAAACACATCACAAAGAGCAAACACTGATCTCTTTAGGGCCCACTGGAAACTTCCAATGATAACTCTTTGTTTTTAACTCCACTACCTATTTACAGTGCTGATTGACCAACAGTATAAGATTTTTCTTTGTTTTACATTTTTTTGGCTTGAATAAGCAAAATATTAGTAGACATTAAAAAATTGGTTGGTGCTACATAATGTTACCTTCAACAATCAGATTTAATATTCTGTAAACAACAAGACAGACAAGATTTATTTTTCAAAACCTCATACCAGTAATCATCAATCAACCTTTTAGATCTTATCAATCAAGTTCTGTTTCAGAGATTTTATATTCCTGCAGAGAATCTCACATTCACAGATCAGGGAATATGCTGGAAAATTACAACGTAGTAGTAGAAAAGGCACAAGAAATTTTAAAATATTTAAGTACATAAAAATGAAAAAATGAGCACTTTATTTGCCTGATAAGAACAGACTGAGAGTTGGTCACAGCCTACGTACAGACAGAAATTTAACAGCAGATAAAGCAGGAGCCAAGACCCTGCAGCGCTAACTGCATGCATTCATCTACAAAGAGCTCAAATCTAATGCAAAGTACTTAGTTAAATATTTACGAAGAGTGAAGGACTCAACTTAAACACAGCTAATTTTTTAAGTTGAGTACTTAAACAGATTTCAGTTCATGCTGAAATATTTATTATATTCAAAAACATAATCATAGAATGGTTTGAGTTGGAAGAGACCTTGAAGATCATGTGTAATTCCAACCCCCTTGCTACAGGCAGAGACATCTCCCTCTAGATCAGGTTGCTCACAGCCCCTTCCAGCCTGGCCTTGCATGCTTCTAGGGAAGGACATCCACAGCCCTGCTAGACAACCTGTTCTAGTGTCTCATGATCCTCACAGTAAAGAATTCCTTCCTGATATCTAGTCTAAATCTAGCCTCTTCCAGTTTAAAACCATTTCCCCTCTTACAGTCAGTACATGCCCTAATAAAAAGTCCCTCCCCAGCTTTCTTATAAACCCCCTTCAGGTACTGGAAGGCCACTATAAGGTCTCCTTGGAGCCTTCTCCTCTTCAGGCTGAAGAGCCCCAAGTCCCTCAGCCTGTCCTTGTGGAGAGGAGATACTCCAGCCCTCTGATCATCTTCATGGTCCTCCTCTGGACCCACTCCAACAGCTCCGTGTCCTCCTTGTATTGGGGGCCCCAGAACTGGACAAAGTACTCTAGGTGGGGTCTCACAAGAGCAGATTAGAGGGACACCTCCCTTGACTTGCTGGTGACATAATGTTTCTCTCAGCAAAGTGGACAGACTAAATCATCACAGTGGCCTATGCTGTAACATCTGTGTATTAAATATCAGTGATCAAGACCTACAAAAGGCATCTGGTGCTCCTCAGTCAACAAGAGAAAGCTGAAAAAAAAAGTTAAATCTAAGAAAACATTTACTGCTCAAGAGCAGCTGCAAAATAAAATGTTCCTTTAAAGTCATATTAGCATCTGACTTTTTAAAATATTCTGAGTCATAATGTAAGAAGCACAAAATATTGTAAAATGAAGTATTATATGCTAATTTCTATATCTATTAACAGAAGTTTTCATTGAGTTTTAGATTCACTTTAAACATTTTTCCAGTTAGCTGCCCTTCTAAGGCTATTTCTTCCTTCCTTTTTTTTTTTTCTATCTATTTGTATTTTTTGTGGGTTTTTGTTGTTGTTGCTGTTGTTGCCTGTGTTTGCCTCTGGATCTTCCCCTATGTTTATCAACAACAGCATGATGCTCATCTATTGGGCTACTGAGGAAAATAAAAAGTCTGTGGCTGTATGTCTTCTTCCACTTAACTTAACTTCCCAAGAAACATGACTGAGGAAAGAAAGCATTATGTAAAAACATTCCTTGTGGTGCTCTAATAGGAGGAAAGGAAAGAAATATTCCTGTAACTGGGACTCTAAACACAAGGCAAAGAATGAAAGACCGTCAGAACACAGGTTGACCAGAAAAGAGGCAGGAGGCAAGTCTGCTTGAGATACAAAATGCAGGCAGCAGCAGAAGTCTTAGTCACTACCTTCGTGTTGGAATAGTTCATTTTATTTCCAGACATCAAAGACTTAAGATTGAGTAGCATATACCTATGTGCATATATTTTTTCTTACTGTGTTATTTTTTCTGTTGCTAAATTCAGAGCATCCAGATGCATTTGAGCCAGTCGCAAGCCAGGGAATGTCAAAAAAGCACCAATAAGTGAACACAAAACAGCCAGGAACAATTTGAAGGTTAGTTTAGACACAGGACCCCTAAAAGAAAAGAGAGGAAATAAGCATTTTCTTGAGGAGGAAGTGAATGGGCAGGGTATCAGTGATTACGTTCAACAGTATCTAATATTTAATCAAAAAGCAAAAAGTATTGTACAGTTTTACTCGGGAATACCAGCATCATTATAACTCAAGCAGGCACCAAAACAAAAAATAAGTCACCTGTTTATTTAATAAAATGAACAGAAAACCTTCCTATTAAAAATACTTCCTAGTGCAAAAAAACCTCGTAAAAGATGTTAAATTTGTTAGTACAATAAAACAAAAAAAGAGTAACTTTATATTAAAATTAACAACTAATTGTAAAATAAAAAAGCTACCAGAATGAAGTCAGTGGTTATTTTTTTTAAGAGAACAGATATATCACAATTTTAAATTTTCATAGTCAAAATCAATGTTTTTTAAATTACATGTTAGCTGCATTCTCCTTTTACCCATTAAGGAGCTTTGTCAAACTTATTACTTTTTTCCCCACAGATTTATCAAACACATACATGTACTCAATTACTTATGTCTCTTCCAAGTAGCCAGTATTTTTTTTTTTTTAATTAACTATGCATTACATCACAATTACTGAAAAAAGTACTAAGGATAAATGAATTATGGAATTAATAAACTGAATTACAAACATACATACATACAAAAAAATCAAAGGACGTAACAGATTAAAGAAAAACAAAAACAATTCTAGTTATCCACATAAGCTTCAGACTTGTTAGTCCACAACCTCAAACTACCAAAAGACACCATTGTCAACTCAGTCATTCCTATGAACAGCCAAAGCACTGCAAAAGTTTAAAAATAAAGGAACGTTAACAGAAAAGTTAACAAAGAAGTTAGTAAAGTCGTAATAGCTTAGGTAAAACGGAGTAAAGAAAGGTTAAGAAATACATGGGATTCAGTTAAATGTTTCTCTGATATTCCTACCTAAAAATGATATATTTTCTACATAGGCATATTAGAAAGATCTGTTCCACAGAAATAAAGAAATTCCATAGTTCTGGCACAATACTTGAGAACTCCCAACTTAGAAATCAAAAGTTTATCCCTCACAGTAAGGATATACCCCATAACACGTCAGCAAATGTGTAAGAACAGAGTTGTACTGAAAGTCCATTTTACAATACACAAAGCCTATCCATGACAGTGGTTGTGTACACAAGTAAAATAACAAAAATGGCACACTCCTTTCATAGCCCGTACAAAACTTGAGATATCCTGTAGCAAGCAGATGCATTTGTGAAGGAGGAAAATACTACAGAACTTGAAGATGTGAATAAAAGTCAAAATTTCCTCCTAAAGCCGACTTCATCACAAGCTCCAGCTGAAGTGTCTGAAGCTTTTTTGCAAGTTCATCTGCTTACACACCATAGAAACAGCAAAAAGATTTTTTTGTGTGTGTTAAATAGCTCCTTCAGCACTCCAAAGATTGCTTAAGAACTGTCATGAAAATTGTACTTCTGAATTTATTTTTTTAAATGCTATAGCCAAACTACCAGGTTGGAATCTATATCTAAATTAAAGAGAAAACAAAGATACTTTGAAATATTGATGGATTATTCTCACTAATACACCTCTTCACATTTTTTTTAGCAATTATAAGCACGTACAACAGCACAATATGCTATACAAATGCTTGCTAAGAAAATCCAAGTGGTTCAGTTATAAATGCAAACACAATGTAAAACACTACATTTCCAGGACTTACTGGGATTCCAAACCCTGCTTTTCAAGGAACTGCATAGCACTTTCTGAGAAATTTGAGAATCCTGCGGAGACACATAGATTATATGTATTTTATCACAGTAAAAACAATACTTCCCACCCCTTCTTTCCCCCCCACATAATAATACATCTTTTGAAAAGTGTTCATATGTTAGGATAATTCTTTCATGCACTGATTACGCCACAGTACAATAAAACTCGGATATTAACTGTCTTTGAAAATACCTATTTGATACTTGAACATTTCATGAACATCAATGGAATTAACACTGATGCTTACAGACCAAGTACCTATTATTTTTTCTTTTTTTTTTTTCAGTGAAGGCAGCTCACTGTGCAATGCAAGGCAAAACAGATTAAAAATAAAACTGGAAGGCAAAAGTGAACAAAAAAAAAAAAAAACAAGCCATTTTACACATCTTAAAACAAAGCAGGAAAAATAGACAGAATATCCTCCAGTGTATCACATAACAGAGTTAAAATTAACAGATATATTCTCAAAAATTTCTAAAAGACCTGAAATAAATCTTTCTAGTCATGCAATAAGTAAGACTGTTGCAAATACTAAAGAAGGGAGTTACCTGATTCCAGTCCAAACTCTAGATAGTTTTCTGTCACAATCAAAATTGCCATTGCTTTCACAAAGAAGAAAAAGCCAAATGTGACACAGACTGATCTTTCACCTCCTTCCTCTACTTTGAAATAATGAGTGGTCAATGAAAATAGTACCTTACTACACAAGAAAAAGGTCAAGGAAAATTAAATTGGAAAAATAACAATATTTAAAAATTACAAAGCTGTATTTTGATCATCTTCACTAAGGATGTTCTACGCTGAGCCAATTCCAGATTAAAGGACAGTGTAAAGCAGTGATTAAAAAAAATTATGTAGCTAGGAACACACTTCTCTGCAATATCGTTTTAATTTAGGCTTACTTACTGTCAATTGTAGCAATACTCCCTACCATGGGTTATCTTATTTTAATAATAATATATAAGAATATCTGGCTGGAATTACCAGAGAGGTGGTGGATGCCCTATCCCTGAAGACATTTAAGGTCTGCAATCTGAGCAACTTGTTCTAGTTGTAGATGTCCCCATTAATTGCAGGGGAGTTGGACTAGATGACCTTTAAAAGTCTCTTCCAATTCTAATGATTAGAGCACAACTGCAGTATTTGATAGAGCATATTCTCAACTACAAAACACTATTTATCAACAAAGTCACTACCATTAGTTATGTATCTTCACCTGCAATGAAACACCCTGCATGCTATGCTCAGAACAATCTGCACCAGTGAAAGTGATGACTGTGGCTGTCACCACTGCTAAAACATACCATCCACCCCCCACATCCACTTTTTGGTCTCCATAAACAGACATCAGTTAATCTCAGTGGTCGCCATTTGTTCCACAGGAAGTAATTCACTGACACATCATTGCTTCATAGGCAATTTCACGTCACACATCATTTGTCAGACTGCCCCTCTGCTGCCCTTTGTCACACGGTAACATGTAAAGGGATGCTGGTACCAATGTTCAACCTCAACCGTCATACAACCAACATCTGCCTTTGACACTGTGGACCAACATAACAGAAGCAGCCCACATAATTACTGACATCCTTTTGCACCCATGTTCTCAATTGAAATCAGTCAACCACATTTTTCCAATACTTAAGTCATGATGAATAATTTCTGGCCCTGACATACTGAATGACTAAACAGTTTGGTAGATTTTAGAAGAGTTTCAGCAGCACTGAGGCCTGATATCATAACACAAGAACACAGGAGTTTTCTCCTGAAATCACAAAGATTGTTTCCCCAATAGCACAGTATTATCACTCATTGCATAAAAGCCCTTCAACCCAGCTGTAAGCTAGGAATAAGTCACATTAATATGTTTATGTAAGTGTCAGCTCTAATATAACAAGTCTAGAATGTGCTGCTCAGTACTGCAGACTTCTGTATCACCACCTAAGCTCTCAGACTGGGCAATGGTCACAACACTTCATTCCATCAGCGCAGGAACCATACAGTCAAATAAAGTCAAGCTCTGTTCAATATTAGAGAGCAGTGATTTCACCAGGATTTCTACAAAATCATCTGCTCTGCAGAGAAGCCTCCCTTAAAAGTAAAGTCTGTTTACTATTATGTGAAAAATAACAAACAAGCAAACAAAAAAACAAAATTCCAGCAATACAAGTTGTACGAAGTGGAACACGAATAGTCCTAACTAGAACATTTCCCTCATACAACTAATGAATGACCTATTACCAGGTTACAAATTACACATTCCATTGCGTAGGATTCCCTACCTCTAAAACTATCCAAAAGACAGAATTTTTTTCTGAACAAATTAAAACCCTTAGAATTTAGGCCTCGCTGTTTGACAGCACATTCAAAACAAAAGGACACTCTTGCATACAAGTTTCTTGTTTCCTGGGATTTGTTTCTGAAGGTTTGGTCCTACATACGATGCCATTCTTCTCCTGGCTTTTCCAGATTTGCTTGTTTTAAGAAGTCTTATGCATCTTAAATCTTAACTTCTCTTTCACTTTTTCTAACTCCTACAAACTATTAGAAATCCTTAACAATTATCTCCAAAGTATATTATTACAAAAAACTCAGAAGAATATTGGTTCTTTAGCTAATACATACTCACGCAAATGCAAAAATATTAAAACATGAAGTTAACTAGTAAGCTACTAAATAAAATTTAGCTTCTGGTTGGCGATTGCTTGCTTTTAATAATATCCTATCTGATCTTACAATTTAAAAAGTCAAAGTACTTTTACACATCATGTCAATATGTGCACCAAACTTAATTTTCATCTAGTACAAAAGGTTCTTTCACACAGAAAAATTATTTGCTTCTGTATGGGAACTGCTGAGTCACGGCCTGAACTCTGATTGATCACCTGAGGTGAGCAATAAGTCAGCCACAGGAGCACAGGTGAAGGCAATTCTCCTGTGCTGCTGGAAGGGGTGGAGCCTGGCTGCACCTCTCCTAGACCTATTGAAGAGCTGGCTACCAGAGGGGAAGGATCTCTTCTGGAGATCTGCTCTGCTGGAGTTTTGTAAGTGAGCCCAGGACAGGGGTAAGCTTTCTATCCTCTTTTTGTTATCATGATCTGCTTTGCCTAACTCTCTTGTTTTTTGTAATTATAACATCTTAATATTCACTGATTATATAGCTTCCAACAATGGATAAGAATCAACTGTCCATCTCCATAGCAGAACTTATACTTGAAATCTGACATATAATTATGGGATTTAATAACATATTTCAAGATGTTTAGGGTGTGAAATGTGCTTCATGCCAGTGTTTTGAGAAACCACAAATTAATTGCTCTTTCTCTTATCAATTCTAACATACACAAGTTTCCCCTCTATCATTCTTCTCTTTCTGCCATGTCGAAAGGTTGGTAAGAAAATACAACTGATGTACTTCTGACATGCAAGGAACATTCACTCTGTTACAACCTCCTTCAGGTCCCAATATGCAGTGAAACCTCAAATGCTTGAACTGAATAAGACAAAGTGAAAAATGGTGGTTTAGGCTCAATTTATATAAAAACAGGTGGTGAGAAAGAAGCAATCAGAAGAACACCTTGATAATTACTTGTATGTTCATACTACCAAGACAGAAAACTTGCGCTGCCGTGTAACTTAACATTTTTAAAATTCCACAATTGGTTTTGCTCTGAATTGACTAAATGAAAGCAGTAATTAGGACTGCCTTAAAACACCACTCTAAGAATGGAACACTGCAGTTGTCTTTCCTATGAAATCTATGCCAATGTATAATTCACAACCACAGTAAAATTATTTAAGCTGGTTATGCCCAAGGTCTAAAAAAGGAAGCAAAAAGGGCACTATCACCAATAAGCTGAACAATGTATGAAGCTTTTTTCCCCATAAATTCATTAATCTCATTCTCCTTCTCATTATGGGAGTCAAAAGAGTTTGTTTTCATCAATTATTTCTTAATAATGTCTTATTCTCTCTGCCAAGATTCCTGACTTTGCCTAACCAAATAATAATATACAAAAAAGGGTGCCTAGTTATATAGCTGTAACATCACTAAAAGGTGCACAAGAGCTGATTTTCTGCCAGCTATTTCTTTCCTTAACTTCATCAGCTATGTCACTTAAGTTAGTACTCATGACCAGGAAAATTATGCATTTCACTTGCACTTCAGGCTAGTCAGAAAAGGAATTCGTCCTTACTGTAAAGGCACAGAGGAACAAATTTTGAATATATGTGTGTTATATCTAACTAAGCATTTGATCTGTTTGTCAGTTGTGTGGTACCAAAGGAGCTGCACAGCTTTATTTTCCAGCTCCTCTCTCCATAACCTATGCTCCTTGAGAACCTTATCTGATTATTTTGCTTCATTACCTCTCCTATCTTTAAAACCCAACTTTCCTCTCCAAATTCTATGACTGGTATGTGGAAATTAATTATTAATTATAGCGAAACCATGCACTGTCTTTTCTACCAAATACAAACAGGACAGCTACTTCTTCTTATCGTTCAGTATTGCTTGTTTCCTAAAATACTGTTTTTTTTATTTCCAGAAGAAAATGTTGCTTTTCACAGACCACTGAAAACACAGTACCATTTTAGCTCCTATAACTGTCTATACATTTTATTTTGCACTGAATCTAAGAGAAATAATAATCTTTTGAATTCTGAAGTTATGAATTCATGCATGCAACTTTGCAACAAATGATGATTTACATTATTGTATTACTTAGTTCAGAAAGTATGAGGTTAAACATAACAGAAAAGCCAGGAAGTAAACTGCATGCTTCTTCAAAAATTACAATCTGCATGGACAGCAACATTTGCCCACCCTGACAGTCAAACATTAGCTCAGAACAGCTACACATTACATTAATTCTATATTCAGAGAGCTGTATTTTTTTCTATAAATGGTTTGGTATAAATGTTTATATGCTATTTATATCAGTATAAAGAAACATGCTACAGCATATACATTACCTGAAAATGATGCTAGCTACAATTCTTTTTCCAAATGGTAAAATTTATGTATTCTCTAAAACAACAATAGAGAGCTTTCTATGAACTGCAGCATGATGGAATTGGTAGAATGATATAAGAAAACAGAAAAGGATACACTGCAAAAGCCAAGACAAGTAGACACCACACTACACTGATATTCATTTCTTGTGAGGGCTTCACAATGCTGTAATACGCTTCAGTCACCACATACACAACTGTAGCTGCAACAGTGAAATCCACCAACCACTGATATTCAGGAAAGTAATGTAATGCTGAAAAATACAAGTTTGCAAACATTACAGCTATGATATATACATATCATATGCAGAACACAGTAACAATCAAAAATTGTTTTCAACTGATCTAGACGTAACAAGATTATGGAAGTTAAGATCATCGACAACAAAAAAGGCACGCCTTTTTTCTATTTGATAGCCTCTCCTTTTAATTTGTATTTCACTCTTCACCTCAGTGAATATTCTGGGTTGGTACTAAGCAATTTGATAAGGTTACAAGATTTTATTTAGCATCTCAGCTTTTACACGTTGATCTAATTAACTCAAAGATTATAACCAGTTTAGATATCAATATCATGATAGAAAATGGCTCTTTCCTTTAGTTACAGTTCTAAGGGTTCAAGATTAAAAGGTTACTGGCTATCACTTTATATAAATAATATATATTTATATATTCTCCTAAAAAAAAAAATCTAAGCCATTCAGAGTTTGTTCAATGTTATTAACGTCTTCTGCACGGTAATAAACCATTGATTCCACCTAAAAATTCTGGGGATCATACTGGCAGGCTGGGTTATTTACAAAGAGGGAGCTCCTGAGAAATGTGAAGAACAACTCATGATAATAAAGCCCAGCCTGTCCCTCTCAAACACATTACCTAGATCATGAGAGTTAAAAAAAAAAAAAAAAAAAAAAAATACAAAACACAAACGCTACGCAGCGTTTGTCTGCTGACTAAGAGATAGCTGATGACAAACACAACATATTGGTTAAATTCAGGTATTTCCAAGTCCTATACTTATTTTGAAATAATTACTTTTATTAGATTTAACATGCTTGTATGCTTATTTCTTTAAAACCAGTTAAGTGTTCAACTGCATTCATATCTATAAACACTCAGGAAGACACTTAAGTGCTGTATACAACACCTGCATATGAGAATGTAAATAAGGAAAAATATATAGCTTACGTGCATAGGAAAGTCTTAAGGTTACATATGTAAAGAAAGTTGGTTATCATTAAGGAATCAAAAACTATTATTTTAAAAAATAAGCAACTTTCCAAACATTTAACATTGCTTGTTTCTGCACTGCCATTTTTGGCACCTAAGCATTTTAAGTCAGTTTTGTTTGTGTAGGTCTAGGTTTCAATGCAATAGTACATTTCATATTTTAGGCCAGCAGAAAGCATATGCTTCAAGATCAGTCAGTTACCATTTTCTCATACAAAGACTGTTTCAAATAGACCGTGATGGGATCCTTTCTGTGTTGTCTGATACTGCTTTGGATGCCTGAATGCAACAATTTTTGCAATCTCATTTAACACTTTGTATCGGTTGTACTCCAAAAATATGTTCCAGCATTTACTGCAAATAAATACTTGATAGAAAATACCACGATGTATTTGATATACTACATCATTGTTAGCACCCTTATTCTTACCAATAGTGTCCCTTTCAGTCACAGACTTCGTTTCCAGATGAAGATCAATATCTTTTGGAATGGTTAAAGGCTTGTTTTCAATGTGACCATTATATTTTCTGTAACAGAAAATACATACGTAGATTAATAAAATAAACATTTTCTTTGTATGTATAAAACCATTTCAAATTTAAGAATTCAGACTGCTATTCCCTTAACTGCAAACACTTCTCTCTAGTTTGCTAAAAGCAATAATTCATAAAGAGTTAAACAACAAGGCATGCCAATAACTACTGGGTTTATCTTGTAATGTTCTAATACACTGTGCTGGTTATGCACATTGGTCTAAGTAGCTTCCATGCTGTATCAAAGTCATGCATTAAGACAGGAGCTGGTGGGTACTGTTTGCACCATCCCACTGTTAGACAGACAGGAATCTGTAATGATATAATAAGTAACCCCAGCATCAACAGGTATGAGTACCACTATAGAGAAGAATACATCTGTCCTGCCAAACAAATACCCTGAAGAAAATTGAAGCTGAAGTGATGCTTTCCAAATGAAGTCTAGACAAGGTTCCAAACCCATTCCCCCTCCTCCCCCCCCAAAAAAAAACAGATTTCCCAAAATAGCATTACGCTTTTAAGTTTGTTGCCTAAGCTAGATTAACCTAGATCCTTGAGAGATGTATCCTATCAGCCATCAATAAAAAAACTGTAAGGCAGTTTTCTAATTTAAAAGGATGGCTACAAAAATGGCTTTGACCTATTTCAATTCATATCCTGCTTGTATAGTAAAAAGTAAAAAAAATAAAAATAAGTTAAAAATAAAAATAAAAAAAAATTTTTAAAAAGTAAAAACAATTATCACTGTATTAATAGCAATCCTAGAGATATAGTAGGCCTTGAAAAGAAATAAATACATCATGCTCTTTGGGAGGAAATAGACAAAACTATGCATACTCTGATGTTGAGACAGGGCAGGTTCCTGATTTTAGCCATTCCTGCAGGGCACAACAGATACACAGAGGCTTTAAGAAGAGCTGCAGAGAGATTAACTTGCTCCTATCATGTGTGCATAGGTGGAAAGTTTCTTATATGAAGGGAAAGACTAAGACAGGCTGATTGTCACATTGCTAAATCCTTCTTGGCTTCTAGCATTAAGCAATCTGGGGATAATCTAAGCCAGGTATTACATCTTCTGAAATATCTTTTTTTCTTTTCGACATTAATTTATTCAATCCCTTTCTGAAACACTCTGAAATTTGTTGACCCGCGCAGCTAATTTCACAATGTTTGTCCCACATTAAAAAAACCCTGATAACTACCCTACTTAACTTCATTCAGCATCTTCTTGTACAACATACTTTGCTACTTTGTACCCACACACTGTGCCCACTCCATACATACCTGTGTCTTTGCATGGAAGCCTTACTTTTAGCTATCATCATTCCCCCTTTCTAGTTCCACTGAGTTATCTTCCAAATACAGTATAAACAAAAAAGTAAAATATAATTTGAAGCTTTTTTATGCTTCTCAAATTTCTGGTTACAAATAACAGTTTTGAACAATGTGTTGCATGTTTCCAAAGAGATAAAGACCAGAAGGGCTACTTAGAGCAACAAAAGCACTTTTTTTTTTTTCCTCCTGGAGCTTGGAAACTATATCAACACCATTAACTTCAAAATCTTTTCCTGGGGTGCATTAAAAGGAGTATGGCCACCAGGTCAGGGGAGGTGATCCTCCCCCCTGTACTCTGCTCTGGTCAGCCTCACCTGGAGGCTGTATGTTGTTCTGGGCTCCCCTGTAGAAAAATGACAAGGATTTCCTACAGAGAGTGCAGCGGAGGGCCATAAAGATGATAAAGGTCCTGGAGCATCTCCCTTATGAGGAAAGGCTGAGTGAACTTGGTCTGTTAAGCCTTGAGAAAAGAAGACTCAGAGGGGATCTGATTAATGTTTATAAATATCATAAGCATGGGAGTCAAAGAGATACAGCCAACCTCTTTTCAGAGGTCTGTGGGGACAAAAGGAAATGACCGTAAACTGGAGCATAGAAAGTTCTGCACCAATATGCGAAGGACCTTCACAGTGAGAGTGACAGAGCACTGGAACAGGCTGCCCACAGAGGTTGTGGACTCTCCTTCTCGGAAGACATTTAAGCCCACGTTGGTGCCAACCTGTGCAGTGTCCTGTAGGGTGTCTGCTTTGAAGGAGGGTTGGACTCGATATGCGGAGGTCCCTTCCAGCCCCTACAATTCTGTGATTCTGTGAAAATAAGCCATACTACAAGCTCATAACCCCCTAGAGGACTACAATAGAACAGTGTACTTTGCCAGATTTCAAAACAGCACCTCTGAAATCAGTGAAGGAAAGGTGGATTTTCCAAAGAAAGAAGAGTTACTTGTACATGAGCATTAAAAGGAAGTTTATTCAACTATGAAAGAGTAAAGTCCTCTTAATTCACATGTAAGCTGAGAATACAACCAGAAAGAGTCAGTAAGCATTATTTTTTCATGTGATACTAGTTCTTACTATCACTCAAAGCACAAGAATTTTAATGGACAAATTGAAAAATGAGGACAAAAATCTAAAGCAACTCTCAAAAATGTGTCTACATCTAAATGAGGACTTGCCAGTAACACCTTACTACAAATAACTGCCTTTTATAACTATTTTCTTGGTTACGTATTAATGTATTATATCAATCTGATAATTGAGTGACACCAACAAAATTTGCACAGACACAAAACACTGCATCACATTTGAAGCATTAAATGTAGCATTTTAATAGTTGAAAAGTGATTTGTATTTATGTGTCTTCAGATACAGTTTCCTGCTACTTTTCACAGTACATTTTCCAAAGTTTGAAAAGTTAAAGCTTAGATATCAGTACAAATTAACATGCCATGTTGCTACTCAGTAGTGAGTATGCAATTGATCATATGTGAAAGTGAAAGCGCTTTGGAAAGCAGAAGATTGGCAACACTAAGAAACGACATTAGCAAAGTAAAATTATTTTGTATAAGGCTCCTATTTATGGACTTAAACATTTAGTTCTGTCATACCAATTATTTTACATATATTACCGATTAGATGAACGCATAAAATGTAATGCTATTCACAGATCTTTTAACAAGTTGAAGGAAAACAAGAACGTTGTTAGATAATTAATGTCTGAATTTAAGAGTATTGTGACAAATATGTCACACTATGAAAGAATGTGACATATGAAAGAAAATGAAAGATACTTACGTTAAGGGAACAAGTCTTTATCCAAAACACAACAAATAAGTTTCCTGAGTAACTTAAAAACTCCAGAAAAAAAAAAAAAAAAAACATAAAGAATAGACTATACATGGATTAAAACAGGCGTTAGGAATTGTATACCAGTATTTCATATCAGAGTTAAAGGAAAAGGACTAAGGGAAATCAACAAGAAAGAGTGCATTTTGCTGTTTATTTTAAGCCCAGCCAATTCTGATTTTTAAAATTTATTTATCTTTCAATTACCACAACAAGCTCCACCACCTCATCATCACTCTTGGCTCTTGGGCAGTTCTACTTCTGGAAAGTCTGTTGGAGACCTTCATGATTGTATGTGAGAATCTTGTTTCCAGCTGAAGCTGATGAACATCTATCTCATCGTTCCCCATTTTCTTTCTGCTAGGTTAAACAAGTCAAGCTGTTCCAGATGGTTCTTGTAAGACATGCTGTTTCCTGCCTGATGCTAGTAGCCCTTCTGTTCACCTATGCAAGTCTGAATTTATTCTTCTTGAACATGAATGACCAGAACTTTTCACAATAATCACAACAAAATTCTACACCAGTGCTTCGTGCAAGGGGACTAATACTTCCACTGGAAGTAACTCAATAAATTCTAGGAGCACATTTACTTTTATCACAGCTGTGTAAACGGGTAATGATCCAGAACAACAATCCCATATCAAGTACATTCAAATCTTGCCTAAATATGAGGACCTTCAACCCTACAGAAGATTTGCTTTCCTCAGGCTCCATGACACGGGTATATTGATTAAAAAAACCTCTGTAACCTAATTAGCAATTTCACAAACAACTTTTAAGAACTGGGAATCATTCACTGCTGCACAATTTGGAAATTCTCTAGTAAAACAAAAGAACACAGTTCAGTACAGAGCTGTGACGATACATGTATTGCAGTCATATGCAACAAGCAGTTTTATAATCACAGAAGACAGAAACTGACCAAAGCTGTCATACAAATCATACCAAAAAAAAAAGAAAAAAAAAAGTGTAGGAGAAAGAAGCTTAAAACAAATACTTACCTATCTTTCTTGCTTTTCCCTCTTTGTTTCCCCGCCAGAATCCGTAGTTCTTCTTCAGTAGGATGTTGATACCATCGTAAACTAAAGGAAAAGAAAATCGCAAATAAAACCTCATCAGCACTAGCAATGTAGAATGATTTAAAAACAACAACAACAACCAAAACATAACTATGTATAAACACAGATCTATATATACACTAAAATAGCAGTCATTTGCAACATCTAAAAAAATACCCTGCTTGGACTGAAAAACAACAACTGACCTTCACTTCTCTTCAGCACAAGTTACTTATCAGATACCATTAGAAGCACATGCTACCCCTTCACAACAAATCCTTCACTTTTCAAAGCAGACAACTATTACCCAACTTTTTTCTTAAACAGTCAAAATTGTAATATCTGTATTTCCACCCTAAGCAACATCACCCTTGTGATACCTTCAACACTTATTAGGAAAAGGACAGCAGCTTACAAAAGCACAGATAGGTAAACGTTAAAATATGTACCTGCTGTCTACAAAAATATTTGCATATTCTACTATCTCTGTTATGGATTTCACACAAGAGTTATTCAAAAAAACAAAATTCACTAATTTATATGTAAACTGTACAATTTTCCACTTTCACACATAAATGCACCATCTATTTATTCATTTATTTAAAAGGCAAGTGGTGGCAAGGAAATTCTAAAGTGGGAAAAAAAAAGATGGCTCAGTCTCAGTAACTTTATTCAAACTTCTAAGCAACAACCTTAGTAGCTCAAGCACAATCTTGTGTATAGCAAAGGTGAGGTGTCCTTCAGATTTTGGATGGCTGTCACTCTGATTCTTCTGCTAAAATGTTAAGGCAAAGTCCAACTATGCACAGAAACATACTTGGAAAATTTATCAGTCTTAATGTACGAGTATTTTTCTTGAGAAAATATTTCTTTTTTGAGAAGGGCACTAATTTATGATATAGTTTAATACAACGTAATAATGAAGAGAGAGCAATGGTATCCATAACTACTATTATTACTCAAGTTAGTAAATTTAGTATGCTAACACAAAACAAGAATACTTAAACCACAACTTGGCCTTCATTACACTACAAAAAGCATTGCAAGTAATTCAAAATTACAAGTAACAGAAGTAATAGTATACAAAAGGGTGTTGTTGTTGTTTTTTTTTTTAATTTAATAAAGCTTACAGGTCTTCAATTTAAAAATCTCAAAAACAAAAAAAAGTGAATACATTTTCATTAAGTTAGAGGTTGGGAAAAAAAACGTTTGCATTTTCTTTAGTGAGTTTAAAACTGAGACAACTGATTACTCTGTAGCTTTGATAGAGTTTACTCTGAAGACCTGTACAAACATGCCCCAGTTAATTTGAATGATTGCCTTTAATGACTGTAGAACAGAGCATCACTTTTCTCCTGAAGTGGCTTGGAAATAGGACAAAAGAGGCTGAGAAAAGCAACATTTTGGTAGAGCAGACTTACTAACAAAAAATGCAAAGGCCTGGGTAGATACTTCAGCTGCCAATTCACTGTCTTCAAAAAATAACAAATGTTCATATTCTGATCAAGTCCTGAAAAGGTTTGTATTCCCTTTCAAATGTAAGTAAATTGTGTTTCAGCAGTTAAAGATAACCATCCACCCTACAAATGAAAAAACAACTTCTGTCTGTCTGTCTATTCTAACAACTATTTTAAATTCTGAGATGTTTATATTCCATTTTAATGGACACATATCGACATCTTGAAACCAGCTGGCCACTTGAAGGTTCTGCATTTTCCTCATAAAATGTTTACCTTCTCTCCTCTTTAGCAAGGACTACCTCCTGAAGATATTTCAGATTACTTCTTTAGCAAAGTCTCCCAACTCTTCCAAAGAAAAACATTCAGGCCAAATAACTTAAATCGGCTTTGGTGATTACAATCTAGTTGAAAATAATTTATTGACAGGAAAGGATGGAGATCTAGTAACTTTTCTTTGGAAAGCTGGACTTCACTGTGTGAACTTCACACTCCACCACCCTGCTTATGGAAGTCCATCTAAGAAAACACTTTGCAAATGGACGATGCTTAGGAAAATAGGTTTATATATGCTCATCAGATAAACTACAAAAAAAAAGTTTTCTTTCTGACATTAAAATTCAGATTCTTGTTTCAGTAAAGCTCCTGACGATTTTATTTCTGAAACACAGAAGTATTCACAGCTCTTTACAAAACTATAGCATTCAGAATGTTATTCATAATGACTGAAATTACAACACACTAGAATAGTTACCTTATGAATAGTATGCTGAAAAGCAACAATGAGATTTTCAAGGTTACTAACATGAAAGGCAATGAGACACCCACTGACCTCAGTGGGAGCATAATTCCAAAGCACTAGCGCAGAAATTCTGCTTCACGTACTTATCTGTATGCGTACAAAGATTAAAAACAAGAAAGGGTGGCCAAAAACGTATTTGAACAGCAAATCTTTCACTGGCACAACATTTGCCTTAGAATGTGAATGCAGAGACTGAAAATGGCATTAGAATGAAGGACACAGGCATAATATTGAACAATCCTTAAAAAAAAAAAAAAAAGTTCTGAAATGGACATTGAGACAAATGTTTTAAATGCAATATAGAAAGTAGACTATATCATTTGAAATATAACCAATACAACACTCTGAGAGGAACACTATAAACGAGGAAGATACAAAGTTTCATACTCATTGAAAGTTTTCTAGAGCTCACTTACAGTATAATATTCTTTTTAGAGAAAAAAAAAAAAAGAGGTTGTCAATACCCTGCAAGTGTGGTCAACAATGAAACTTCTCAAAACAGCTAAGAGTATGATTCCCATTTGCATCATCTGCACACTGATTACTGTTTTCCATTCCACCTCACCACTGTTACTGTGATACTTAACACACATTTATTTGTGTTTTAAGTGCCACATTAGTGACATTTTTTGTTGGCAATCATTTGGAAATTGAAAAGGGAAAAACAATGGAAAAAAAAAAAAAAAGGCATGCCAAGATATTGAGGAGAAAAAAAGCAGTGGAAAACTATATAAGATTAGGTAAGACTATTTTGGAATACACTACCATTTAAGGAAACTCCTTTAGAAATCAAGGAGCAGAGCTGTAGTGTTCTCCAAAGTTTAACAACTCCAAAAGACATCATAATATCTCCTAATCATTCAAAGTTTTTTTCTTCCCAGTAGAAAAAACGAAGCATCTGTTTCTTTTAATATTTAAGATACTTAATCATCTTCAAAACCTGCCATTTTTATTCATAATGGATACTGTCACACAGGGAATGCTTCTCTTGCAACATTTTATACCTGTTTAAGCTATCATTATGAAGTCTATATTGAAATTTATAGTAATCCTGTCCTATGAAGTTCTCAAAAACACAATTTTTAATAAATACCTAAGCACTCTGTTTATGCAAGGCTAATCAGTACAATTGTAATAAATACTGAGAAAGTAGTCCTTTGATTCTCAACAGAATTTACTTTAGCTTTTCAATATTAAATTACACAGCTTGTACCTTTGGTAAGGTAAGAGCTGGAAAACAGCTAGCATTAACACAACTAACAGCAACAAGTCTATTCTTTTACACCTAAATACTTTGAACCTGCAAGTCAGGCGTCACTATGCTGAGTAAAGTTCAAGAACAGCAAGTAGATCAATTACTTTTCAAGACAAACCAAACTAGTAATGTTTCTACTGCAATGCGTAGTTGCTTTACCACATTCACACCCCATGTATCAACAGTTTCGTATCTTACCTGCCGCTACAGAGAAGCCAACGAGCAAGAGAATAGTGAGGTATGATCTTCTGTATGACACTAGCCATTACCATGGTAACCACCAACTGTACACCTATCACACCCTGTAGAGGAATAAGTTAACAAGTCAGTACGTGCTTTTAAAATCTGCTGAAGTAACTTTTTGGTTTTTGTTCCTGTATTTTAAAAACACCTTCACGTAACAGGGATAATATATTTTTTTATTTTTTAATCTAGAAGGTAAAAAACTCATGCAAAATCAGTGTTCAGGAAATCCCCTGGAACCTGCAATAACCCACCACATCCTTTACCAAAAGAAAAAGGCATCACAAGGCCAGCAGCATCAGCACCCTGCCAGCTTCCAACAGAGTGCCTTAGCTCAATAAGTTGGGATGCCACATGTTGATATGGCACTCCACAAGATACTTCTCTGTACAATTAAATCACTCACCACAGTCGTGCTGTTCGTGGTCTCTTTCTCTTCTACGTGATTTAACACCTGACACCCTCCAAATCCACCAGAGTTCATCATTTACAACATCCATCTCTTGAAATTTAAGCCTCCAGTTAATACAGAGCATTTGCTCCTTACTGCACGAATGGCATAGATGGTGAAGGGAAGGTGCACAATAATCAGTGTAACTTATGTATTGTATTATCTTTTCTCTCCTTCAACAACTTTTTTTCTGTTGTTCAAATATATCAGAAATTGTGCCATCAATTCTGCTTTCACAAAAAAATCACAGTCCAATCAACACAATGGATGATGCCCAATACCATCCTTAATGAAACATGATTTAAAAATATCAAGATAGCATAAACTACCTTCCATTTGTAATCACTGGAAATGAATGTTACCAGACTTCTCATAATGAGGTTTCAATTATCAATTGAGATACTTGTTACATTTATCAATTATCAATTAAGTACTTGTAACATTTTGTTACATTTTTACATGAAATAACGCATTTGGGTTTTCTTCAGCTGTTCAGGCCTGGAGCTTACAAATAGAAGGAAGAACAAATTTTTACTCTATCTGATACCACAAGGATAAGGGGGGTTGATTTTAAACTAAAAAAGGAGAGATTTACACTCAATATTAAGGGATTTTTTTTTTTCTTCAAAGGGCAGTGAGGACCTGGCACAGCTGCCTAGAGAAGCTGTGGGTAACCCACCCCTGGATGTGCTCAGGTTGGACGGGGCCCTAGGCAGCCTGAGCTGGGAGAGAGCAGCCTTGCCCACAGCAGGGGATTGGAACTGGGTGGACTTTAAGGTCCCTTCCAACCAAAACCATTCTGTGATCAAAGTCTCTCCAGTGGTCTTGCACAAACACTTCTCCCTTATTGAAATTTCAACTGCTCCCTTAAATAGCCACCATCAATTCTTTGATACACCTCAAAAGAACTGATTTCTGAAGCTTCCCTTCAGCAAGAACAGGGATTACTGCAATAAATTTTTGCAAGGAGCCAGTAATAGCACAGATTGTGATATTTCCTCTAATAACATACTATGTGGAAAACACATTTTGCTGTATATACTTACGCACAACTTATTTACATGTATATTAATACACTCTGGAAAAAATATATATCATCGCAACCTATCTTTAATCACAGAATTGCTTTTCCCCACAGAAAACCACAAAACTGAGGGATTGTTCCAATTCAGGTTCTACCTAAATCAAAGCTCCCACACACTTTTAACTCCTCCCATTACCACTAGTATTAGTTTTGATACTCATTTCAAGAATGAATACAAAGGCAGATTAGGTACTGGTTCCAACCAATATCTTCTGCTTTACTTGACATACTCTTAATTAGCAGACATGGTTCAGAATTTAAAAATCTATCCCAACTTAATAGAATATAGCTTGTTTAAAGGGGAAGACATTAAAGGACGAAACTCTTTTACAAGACACAATCTTTTGCAAGAAACAATGAGCACAAACTGGAATGCAGGATGTTCTGTCTGAAGACGGAGAAGCTGCTTCTGTGCTGGGGAAGCGACAGACTAAACAAACGCTAGAGACAGAAGTCAGTACCTTACAGATCAGACACTTCTTTCAACCTGTATACAGCTGAAAATCCCTCAGCCTCAAGGTAAGAAGACTATAAATCACTTTCTCTTCAAAACAGGGGCTGGCTAGTAACCCCATGGTCAATGCCTCAAGCAAGACAGAACAACCAGACAGTGACTATAATGCCTAATAAGTTGCAGACTTGTGTTTTCATTTCAGAGGAAGATCTTTGGTCAGAGGTCTTTCAATATCTTGATCGCTCAATTCCAGGACCTTGAAGTACTTATGGCATCATTATTTCTGTTTGTGCTATAGAGAACATATTTTATAAGAAAGCTTTGAATAAAACATAATAAAGAATTCCTAAGCAGACTACAATGGAAGTGTTTGCAGTTACATTAAAGAATAAGACAGACACGCTCTTAAAATCTAGAAAAATGAAAGGCCCAAAAGGCAGTACGGTAAGTTTGAACAAAGTGCAACCTAGATTTCGGCCTTCACAGCCCATACCTCTAGCACTACGTAGTTAGAGACAGTGCTACTGATAAAAAAGAAAACAAAAAGTAAGAATAAGTATGATAAAGCTTCCATACTCTTATCTACAAAAGAATGTGCACTTACAACACAAACATAGCTACCTCATAATATTAACAGAAAATATGAACATTGTTAAAAGTACTTCTTCCTAGAGTATATTTTTATATTTACAGAACATGCAAAGCAAGAATAATCAAAGTTAATTGTTTTATCAAAGATAACTCTTCAGACCTCACATTTTGACCTTGCCCAAGGTTATTCTCCCGCTCTGACTGTACCACATCAAGTTTTTTCCCTTGCCATATCACACAGATACGCAGTACTAATATTCAAAACCTAGGTTTATTCAGGGTTTCAAAACTACTTAGTCTGTAACAATATTTATAACAGCCACCACTACTCCCATACTCTCACTCCTTTCTCCCCCCAGTTGCAGGATGAAGGCCATGATTTGAAGCCAGCAGTTGCATACACTAGGATTACTTGGCATAGTACACCAGCCAACCGACGACATGCTTGAGAGAACACATAGGAGAACACAGCTTCATGTTCAGAATTACAATGCCAGCTACTTATTTCTGAAGCAACAATTCTTGTAAAAACATGTTTGTTTTACAGAACAAATGATGCATCAAGTGGCACAGAGAATACAGAAGGAATTCAGAACCAGCAACTGCTCACCTCCATGTGCCACTTCTGCCTTGGCCAGTGCTTTCCTCGTGTTCAAAGGAGGGTCATAAACTGGTGGATAGGAGTCAGAAGCTGTATGACTCCCTTTGAATCAACGAGCATTGTTTAAAAATCAAACTACAGTCTTGTCAGCCAACATCATTTATCCTCCATGAAACAAGAAACAAGAGTGCTCCCTAAACACCACAATTACAGAATTAAGGATCATTAGGAAAATCAAACTACTGTTGTAGAAGTCTCATGACTGGAACCAAACCACTTTTGAAGTTGCAGAATTATCATTACTACTGAAGTAATCAATAGAGAACGTGCCTTGAGCAGAAAATCAGTACATATTCAATGTAGTATTAAATTACAGGCAAAACCAGTTCAGAGAATTGATCTACAATGAAGGAAAAGAAGGCAGAAGATTATGTTAAAAGATTTTTAAAATCTACCATAACTATATTCACCTAATTGACACAAACTGTGGAAGCTCTCACCCTCACAACCATTAACTAATTTTATAGAAGGCTTTGCCATTGCAAGAATCATTCCAAGAACAAGTGGAAAACATCTAATGTCTCTGCAGTACAGCCTAAACGCTATGGCAGAATTAAAATGCTTGCACAGAATTGTGAACATAATGAGCATTACAGGTAGAAAGATCAGCCCTGATAGCCACAGCTAAGAGTTGTACAGCCAGCCAGTTGTTGCGACAACTGTTTGTGAGCCTACTGATAAAAATGAAACCGTTGTATATTTCATTCTGCCACTGAGTCAGAACTGGAGAATGCAGCTTTCACACAGCCTACAGACAGACTACCAAAGACTATATTTTCAAGTGACTTGCATCTTTCTTGTGATTCCATAACATTTGTCAATATAGCCAGCAACTATTACTTGCTCAAGTGGAAATGATTTCTCAAGCTTATAGGAAACATTTAATGGATTGCAGCGTAGAGTGCTGAGGGAGCTGGTGGATGTGGCTGCCAAGCCACTCTCCATGATCCTTGACAGTCCTGGCTAACTGGAATTTCCCAGCAAACTGGAGACTGGCAAATGACGCCCAACTTCAAAAAGGGCCAGAAAGATGATCCTGGTAGCTACAAACCTATCAGTCTCACATCATTGCCAGGGAAGATTATGAAGTAGATAATTTAAAGAGCCATCACGGATCTACTAAAGGTCAACCAGGGGATCAGGCCAAGTCAACATGGGTTTACGAATGGTAGATCCTGTCTGACAAACCAGATTTCACCCTATGAAAAGGTGACCCGCTTAGTGGATGAAGGTAAGGCTGTCAATGTGGTCTACCTGGACTTCAGTAAAGCCTTTGACACTGCCCCCCACAACATTCTCGTGGAGAAGCTGGCTGCCCACGGTTTGGATGGGCATACGCTCTGCTGGATGAAACACCACCTGGATGGCAGGCCCAAAGAGTTGTGGTCAGTGGAGTTAAATCCAGCTTGTAGCTGGAAAGCTGCCCGATGGAAAGGGACCTTGGTGGACTGATGGGCAGTTGGCTAAGTACGAGTCAGCAGTGTGACCAGGAGGCCAAAACACCAATGGCATCCTGGCTTGTGTCAGGAATGATGGGGTGAGCAGGACGAAGGAAGTCATCCTGCCCCTGTACTCCGCACTGGTGAGGCCGAGAACTGTGCTCAGTTTTGGGCACCCCAGTAAAGGTCACTGAGGTGCTGGAGGAGGCCCAAAGAAGGGGAAAAAGGGCTCGAAGAACATGCCTTGCAAGGAGAAACCAAAGGAACTGGGCTGTTTTGTCTGGGGAAGAGGAGGCTGAGGGAAAATCTTACTGCTCTCTTCAAATACCTGAAAGGTGAGCGCAGCCAAAGTGGGGTTGGTCTCTTCTCACTGGTGACAGGATGAGGGAAAATGGCATCAAGTTGTGCCAGGGGAGGTCTAAGTTGGATATCAAGAGAACCCTTTTTACAGAAAGGTTTGGTAAGCACTGGAATAGGCTCTCCAGGGAGAGTCACCATCCTTGGATGTGCTTAAAAACCATCTGGATGTGGTGCTCAGGGACATGATTTAGTGTTGTTAGAATTACAGTAGTTTGGTTTGGTTGTGGTTGGACATGATGATCTTTGAGGTCTTTTCCAACCTGAGCAATTCTATGATTCTAATGGTATTCAATTAAGGGTCATATTGAAAAGAAAACCAAGCAATTGTTTACAACTTCCCAAAATAGCTCAAAGTGGAGTAGTGGTACAACAGTATCCTACAAATAGGAGGAATATTACAGGAATTTTAGAATCAATATTCTACCCTTAAAGGGTAGAGAAGGAAGAAGAGGCACAGTGGGGAAGAAAACAGCACAGTTCCTTTCACGTTCCAAGATGTACATAATAAAAGAACAGATAATTAGAATCAGCTTGTAAAATATTCCAGTGTTACAAGACTTAAGTATCTGATTTCACCCAAAGCACAACTTCAAAGTGGAGATAAGATGCCAAGCAAGTTCTGTGGCACTTGGACAAATGCTGTCCATAGCTAAATTGATGTACTGACTTTTATAGCCATAAGTACTAATGGAACATACAGAATATATATTTATACCACGAATCATATGTGGTGCCCAACCATATGTGGAATAGGTACCTTGAAAGGAGACCCACTCCACTCAGATAACTCAGGTATTTCATACTGTAGTTAAGGCCAAACACAGGGCCCACCCCGACTTTATATAGCAGCGATGCACTCACACCTCTACAATTCAATCTACAGACACCCATGCTGCCTGTATCACTACACTAACTACGCCAACCAGGCTTTGCTCTCTTGCTGCTATCCATCGAAGCTAATTTCCCGTGTATTATCCCACGTGCAACGCCCGCACTCAGTCACAAAAAGCAGCCCGATTCTTCCATAAACCTAGGATTCCAGCATGCCGCCCCACACACACACAGCCCCGTCGAACCCCGGGACACCGAAAAAGAAGGAGCGTTAAAACCAACCGAAGCGTTCGGCAGAAGTTTGCAGGTAATTCCCAGCTCACACAAAGTCCCACCCTGCCCCCTGCGCCGCGACCCACCGCCACGCTCACCATGCTGCTCCAGCCGGCGCCGCCCGCCGCTCCAGCCGCCCGTCCCAAACCCTCTCGCAGCGCATAAATCCGACTCCCAGCCCCGCTCCGCCCAGCCCGGCACCGCTCCGCTCCGCCGCGGCGGCCCAGCGCCCCGCCAGGCCCCGCGCCGGCTGCAGACGGCCGAGGTCACGCAACGGCCCGCCGGCGCCAGGCCCCGCCGGGCTGCCCAGAGAAAAGCCTGAGCGAAGGTACGAACGAGACGAGAGGCAAGCGGCACAAACGGCCCCGCGCTTCGCGTCCGGCTCTTGAGGGACACACAGACGGAAAAGGCAAGATGAGGTGCCTGACGAGTAGCAGCGCCGCCCAACCAGCGGCTTCCGGTCGGGCAGGCTCGGCTAGAACTCCCAACGCCGCGCTGAGCACCGCCACAACGGCACCGGCACCGCCAAAGACAGCCCGAGGAGTGCGTGAGAGCCGCTTTCGCGCATGCGCCGTACCGCTGCTCTGCGCGAGGCGGGCCGTCTGCCGCCATACGGCGCACGCGCGCAGCACGAAGAGGCGCTGAATTGGGCCAGTGAGGCGCGAGGACGCTCCGCCCCGTCAAAACAGCGCTGTGTAGCGCGTGTGTGAAGGGCGAGCGGATACGAAACACGGACACTGGGAACAAGGCGTGCTTCTGCGTTCTAATCTTTTATTGCAAATGCGTAAGCCCCGCTAGGGGCGCCGGGGGCGCCGCCTCTTGCAGGGCGGAGGAGCGCGCTGGGCGCTGCCGGCCCTCCTCTTGGTGGGGCGCCGGGGCCCCCCAGCCGAGCGCTTCCTGCCTCGGCCGCGAGCGGAGGGGCCGCGGCTGCGGCGCTGCTCGGCGGGACCGGCTGCCTCGGGAGCCGGCTCCTCGCCAGGACCTGTGCCGAGGGCCCCGCTGGACGTGCCGGGGCGCTCCTGTGCGTCGGGACCGGAGGAGCTGCCGGAGGGCACGGCGCTGGGTGCGACGGCGTGTTGCGGGGAGGCGGCGGGACCGGACGGGGCCGCGGGGCCGTCCTGCTGCTCCTGGG